TGCTCGCAAGCCCAGATAAAATTTTGAGTGTAGTCGGAAGTGTTCGTAAGAACGAATAAGGAGAACAAAAATTGTTGTTCGATTTTTAATGGAAAGCGGAAAGTATATTTCTGATGTAAGTTCCGTCACTATCAGTTATATTGTACGTCATCAATCAGTCGTAAAGAGCAACAAAGTCATTTGTCCGTTGCTACTCGAATTAATGACTGTTGTTACACAGAGTGATATCCCCGGCTTCATAGTCACGTGGCAAGAAAGTGATGATCGCGAAGTCGAGCATCTAAGTTTTGGCATACACGAAGCCTTAAGCAGAATCTGTCCGCAGTTGAATTCCATGATTTCCGTTGCGGACGGGTTTGTTCAGGAATTAGCTGTTTCTGATCGGCAGGACATATAGCGCGCGATATCAAAGCGTTGTAGTGATTTATATAATACCTGACTATTTAGCTGGTATATGCGGTTTTTACGCAAATGAAACGCGATGGATGCCTTCCCTCATCTCAGTCTTGCATGGGCCTTGCGTTAGCTGGCGTTTTGACGGTGACATACGCTTCGATTTCTGGACTTGGGCTCGCTACTTGGTTTGGAATCGAATTCAATGCAGCTACCACCCAGGTGAGTAGCACTCTATCAGTTCCGAAGCAGAATCTGGATTGTTGTTTTACATTCGTTCCATTTGTTCTATGAATATTCTCGGTTTAGATTGTGCCCTTCCTCACCCTTGGTATCGGTGTCGACAACATGTTCATGTTACTGCATAATTACCACGATGTAATGTCACTGACAAATCAGCATGAAATAGGAATTCTCATGCGAGAAACTGGAATGTCGATATTGTGCACATCAATTAATAATATTCTCTCCTTCCTTGCAGGTAATTTTCTTTTCATATTATTTCAAGAACACTAGCGAGGCCGTTAGAGTTGGGTAGTGGTCGTAATGGACAGCTGGGTTAATGCTCATAGAAAACTGGTGTTATGCAATATTTTTATAAAATAATTTACTCTATCCATACTATAAACATGCTTTATTTAATCGTAGTGGATAAGCAAGCAACTGAAGTAGTGCTAAACTATTTGTTCTAGAAGGCTATGTTATGACAAATGAATTTCCTCTTTGCAGGAACCATGCTGCCGATTCCAGCACTGCGTTCGTTTTGTGCTCAGAGCTCCATTCTGCTCACGTTCAACTTTATCGCCATTCTTACGTTGTACCCTGTACGTTGGAGTCTTCTCTTCTTTAAATGTTTCAATCTTTATTATGATCTCACTTTTTGGAAATATTTGATGCGTGCTTTGATTGTGTTCATTTGTTTTAATCCTTGGAGTTTTCCTTGTTTTCAACCGAACACTTTTAGGCCATCATTTCGATCGACTTAAGACGTCGAAAAGCTGGCATGCGTGATGTGTTCTGTTGCCTTAGAGGGGAACCCCGGCAAGAGGCCTACTCGATGATTACTAAGCCACACTTCCAGGTTAGTGAGAAGTCTCGGTTTGAACTTTAGGGTTCCACACGGAATGGTAGTTAAGCAGTCGTAATCATGCTAATAATTTCTTGTAGGAGAAACGCACAATCGGTGAACCGATTCCACGAATCATCTCATACAAAGATGTGGAGAAGGCTGAGCCCCCGGGAACTTTTATCATTATCTTTCGGAACTTTAGTTATTTATAATAAGAAGTGTGTCAGGTGAGGTTTCTTCCATTGAGATATTGACTGGAATTTCCATTTGAATGAAGAGTTATTCTTTGATGGGTGGATACTTTTTAGTAATGTATTTATTGTATCTATGGTCTTCATAACGGCGTGTATCCCATGCAAGGTAGGCGTTTTTGGCTGTTATGAATGAGCTGTTTTATGTGCCCAACGTGAGTTCGGAGGGGATTTGGGGTTCGTCATTTGCGCTCAAGTTATCGCGATCATTCAGTGCACCACCTTATCGTGAAACCCTAGATCTTTCGCTCTGCTTCAGTAGTATATTTGGTATGGCTAATAACCAATTACGAGTGTAGCTCTAATGGATTGTTAGCGTCTCACAAATGCAGAATCGAGTTCGCCTTCGAGTGAAGTTATAATTTGTGTCCAAAAGTAACGTCCTTAAATGTATTGTATTGATTACGGGCGAGAAGCTGTGGCAACGCAGATGTATTAGCAGTTGTATGCATTGGGCAATAGTGTGATCAGCTTCAAAGATGCGCTCTCCCCCTCCAGTGTTGCAGCAGATCATTGTTTTGAGAAAAAGCTCAGAGATAGGAACCTTCCGTTCATACATTTTCACCTTGGTTATAACTTTTTTTTATTTTGTTGTGTTTTAGGTATTGCGTTTGGGCGTCGCTTTTATGTTGGTCTCGCATTGTGTGGTTTGAACGAGCCAGCATTGAGTGTCAACTGTAGCGTGTTTTTCCCCTGAACACACCTGCAAGCAATTCTTCAGAGGGATAAATATTAGGTGGAAGAGTGAGCGTTGCGGTCGTGATTTGTACACAGTCCTTTGCCTTTGGCACATGGACTTTCACCGAAAGTTGTCTTTCGATGTGCTTATGCGGCTTTCCAGCTCGACATCAAAAGTCAAATCAGAGTCGATTCTGTGCTTGCGAGGACTCGCATCCGTTTTTTCCATGATCGTGAAATTATTGATCATATTTCCAGTAGCTTCTTAGTTTTATCCAATGTTCCGCTGTGTCAAAAGGACGAATCGATATATGCGTCAAACAAGCGGCATCGGACAAATATGCAGGCTATAGGTTCGTAAGTGTTATTATGTAAAGTGGCCCAATCAGTTAGCGTTCTTGCTAGCTGTCTTGTTACAGTAGGGTTGCCATCGTAAGTAATCTCTCAATTCCAGCATCATCCAAGTTTGTGATAAAAACAAAGTCGGGTGAGCCGTCGGAGAAATACTGGCTAGGAATGATGCGAGATTGGTTGGCCAGCATACAGAAAGCATATGACGATGAAATGGCGCGGGGGAAGGGGGTTCATTTTTTCTCTTTTATTCTATTTGGTGCGAGCTATTCGTAATGAGTTCCAGTGGGCGGATAGTCTGCAATTCACTCTAGAGTGTGAATAAGGCAGAGACGGCTGTCAGCAATAATTTCAGAAAAAAATAGGCATCTTTCCCTTTCAGGTTCAATTTGACCGATGGTGAACTGAAAGGTAACGTCAGTGAAGATGCTCAAATTGCGCACCGTCTTATTTGTAGTGTTGGTCATAAGTATCAGTGCGAAGGAAGGGTGAGTATCCACTTGCTGTTTTTATTGAGTGATAGAGTTCCAAAGTCCTTAGAAATCCTTTTGTTCTCTGCTTCACAGTCTAAAGATTTTTGTCATAGGTTGGTAAAGTCCGGTTGGTTGATGGTACACAAACGATCAACAATGATGGTTTCTACAATTATTTAACAGCATGGTACAATCAGGACAACATGATGTAAGCTTTTCAATTTTCCTCATCTGTCGCGTTTCTTTGGGCGTCTTTCATCTTTTCACTCAACTCATCCCCGTTCTAGGTATTACGTGTCCCAAGCGTCTTTCTACCCGACTCCACCCAAGTGGTCGATAACCGACAAGAAAGCGCCACTGCTAGTCCCGCCAGCTGAACCGTTGGCCTACTCACAAATACCTTTCTACTTGACCGGACTCACTGATACGCCAGTTATCATTGAAATGATAAAAGTTGGTATCGTCATTTGTTTTCGATTTCTTTTCAGTTCTCTAACAGATTGTCCACAGAACAAGCAGTTATCGTAATTTTACTTAAGGAGATCAGAGCCACATGCGATCGTTTCGTCGAGGAAGGGCTTCCTAATTTCCCTCAAGGCATCGCGTTTACGTTTTGGGAGCAGTACCTTCATCTTAATGGCAATCTTTTGACGGTAAGTATGATTTACGCTGCAGAAAGAGAAATCATCCCAAAATTTCGGTTTGATTGAGAGTTTCGCCATTAGGCTGACATTCATTAGACAAAGTTCGATAAGGAAGTTTCTCGTTTCTAGCCTACTTCTCGTGGTGTTATAAGTATTATTTCAGGCTATCGGTATCATAGCATTTGCTGTATTCGTTGTCATTTCGATTCTCTTGTTCAATCCGTGGGCAGCGCTCAATATCTTGATAATTCTTGTTGGTAAGTGAAGATTTCCTAGCAGTACTAAGTGAAACTACTGTGTCGCGCTGTATGTTAAACTCTTTGCCTCAGCTACTTCCATCACTTAGCTATTGTAAATGTTTTCATGGTGCTGTGTGGGCATTAGCGTCATTATTGGAAATGGCTAATGTTTGTGAATTAATTTCGCTAATTGTTTTCAGTGATGACGGTCGAGCTGGCTGGCTTTATGGGTTGGGCTGGAGTGAAGATGAATCCTGTATCGGCGGTGACTTTGATTACGGCTGTTGGGATCGGTGTTGAATTCACTGCTCACGTTGTTTTGGCGTATTTGACGTCTCTTGGAACAAGGTATGGGTTCTTCAGTGTTCATTTATGAATGCTGCGTTTTTCTCCGATTGGAAAATGTGTGCGAAAACGCAAGCTAAACTTTTCTGCGATCTGTAGTTATAGCTCGTTGGGGTGACTTATTAATGCGTTATGTTCTTCTTTTCTGCCCTACACAAAACCGTTGTTTTTTTTTGGTGCCTCTGCAAATTCACAGATTTATATTGCATATCCCTTCGCAACATATTTTCGAATTTGCTATTTTTGGCTAATTGTTATCAGCAGCCATCGGTGACCTACACAATCTTTTGCTTTATGGTGATTTTCCCCAATTCTTTCAGATTAGGTTTTTCTCCCCACACATGACACCTGCCGCCACTTAAACTTAATACTGGCAGGGCTTGGACAGCGTCGTGATCTCGTGTAACAAGTTACATATAGAAAAACACACTAATTCGGAACCAAAACAACACAGTAGAATATGGTTTATTTCGAGGGTTTCACCTGCTTATTTGCGTATCCATTTAGATCTGAACGTACGTCAAGTGCTATCGATCGTGTTTTCGTTCCTGTGATTCATGGTGCATTGTCGACGTTACTGGGAATTCTCATGCTTGGATTCTCCGAATTCGAGTTAGTTATTTATTTCAAAAAGTAACGCGTGACATGGTTTGCATACCCACAATATTTCTGAAACCTTGATTGTTGTCTGTCGAGACTGAGCTCCTTTAGAACCACCTGCTCTATCAGCTTTCATTAAAATGAGACTGTGCAGTTTGTACAGGGTGTCCCATAAATATTGCACCACTTTTCTTTAAGTGTAACTTCTCTCAAAACGTATGTATCTTCAAGAGTTGTACATAATTTTTAGCCATACATTTACATATTTAAACTAAGTGAATGTTTATTTGACATGACCCCTGTTGCTGTGATTATGGCTC